ACGAGCACTGACCTTCTACCTGCATAGAACATGAGCCTTCAGAAAGTCTCGGCGCCTTTTTATAGCTATGGCGAGCGCTCCAAGGGTCAACAGCTCTCCACACAACGTATTTCCAATTTGATCACCTCTGTATCTCACGTTGTTATGCCCTACGGCACAAATTCTTACCAGGACGACCTCGCGCTCATTCCACCAGAGGCATGGCCGCATCTACTGCGTACCTTAGAGGGGTACCGACTTACGGATCTGTTTAATTCTGTCCAGATAAAAGGCAGGCAGTCTGTGGACATCCAGCGTATGCAGTGCAGTCTCTTTGTTATCAGTGTGAGGCTTCAGGAGGAAGATAGGTAAGTTTATGGGCTCACTGCAGTTGAATGGAGTGGGAATCTTTGGGAGAAACTTAGGATGAGGATGGAAAAGAGAGAGTTACTCACCCTGTGCAATAACGTCTGTTCTTCGAGATGTGTGTCCCCGTGGGTGCTCCACTCGAGGTGCTGGATCCGTCCCGGTGCCGCAAAACGGAGAAACTTCCACAGCAGTAGCCCTGCCGGCCTGCGCATGCGTTCCTGTTGCCTCACGCCGTTACAGCTGAGCGCGGGCCGGCTCGTCAGTTTCCTCCCAACCGGAAGCATCTGAAAGAGATAAACAGAAGCTCCGAAGCAGGGAGAAGGGTGGGTCGTGGAGCACCCACGGGGACACACATCTCGAAGAACAGACGTTATTGCACAGGGTGAGTAACTCTCTCTTTTCCATCCTCATCCTAAGTTTCTCCCAAAGATTCCCACTCCATTCAACTGCAGTGAGCCCATAAACTTACCTATCTTCCTCCTGAAGCCTCACACTGATAACAAAGAGACTGCACTGCATACGCTGGATGTCCACAGACTGCCTGCCTTTTATCTGGACAGAATTAAACAGATCCGTAAGTCAAACATGTTGTTTATCTCCACCCTGGAAAGATCGTTGGGCATGGCAATCTCCACCCAAAGACTATGCAGGTGGATAAAGGACTGTATCAAACTGGTCTACTTAACCTGTGGCCTAGCTCCTCCATTGCACCTACAGGCAAATGCAATGAGAGCCATGGCAACTTCTACCTACAGCAGGGGTGGGCAAAAGGGCCTCCGTGTGCTGGATCCAGCCCGCCAAGAGGGTTGATCCGGCCCTCGGAGGCCCTGCCACTCTCCCACCCCCAGGTCAATTAGGGCCTCCTCCCTGCAAAGAGTGCACATTGCTTAGAAGCACCATGCACTCCTGGCAGGGCAGAAGAAAGCTTTGCACGCTCCCTCACCCCCAAGTCCTGATTGGCCTGGGGCCAGAAGGGAGAGTGTACAATGTCTCCTCCCACTGCTAGGGGCATGGGTGCCTACCGGGGAACCTCGTGGGAGGGGGGGAGGGCACAAGTGCTCCCCTACCCCAGACCAATCACAGTCTGTGGGTGGGGAAGCAAGGAAGTATCCTGGCTCCACCCCTTCTGCTTGAGGCCCCGCCCTTTCTGGTGCGGCCCAGGACCATTTAAAAAATTTCTGAAATGGTCCCTTGCAAAAAATTACTGCCCACCCCTGACCTACAACCTACTTGCATGGCTTTCCACTCATGGACATATGTAAATCAGCAACTTGACTCTGCGCCCACATTTGCTAGACACTATATGCTTGATAGTTAACTGTCCTGGGGTACACAGTTTGGACACACTGTCCTAGCTGCTGTGCATGATGCTAACTGAAGTGCCCGCTTCCAGTCATGGTTACTGCTTCCTAATCACCTATGGTGGAGCACCCACAGGGACACTCCTCAAAGAAGGAGAGGGTTACTAACCTTGTGCAGCAATGGAGGTTATTTAAAATGGTTGTCTCTGTAGGAGTTCCACCACCTGCCCTTCCTCCCCTCTGCTTTGGACATGCTTGTTTCTCCTTCTGGGGCAGAGAAGGAACTGAAGGGACAGTTGGTTGTGCGTGTGTAGTAGTGGCACTGCACGTGCCGTCTGCTTTGCATGTGCAGCCTGACGGACGGCACTGCTACCAAAAATCTCCAAGTAGGTGTGCAGCGGCACCCAGACACCTAAGGTGGAGCATCCCGCAGGAACAACCTTCTTGAAGTACCTCTGTTACTGCATAAGTTGTGTAACCTTCTCACATAAATCAAACATCAAGAACAGCAACTTTCAAAAAACATAGGAGAGCACTTCAGCCTCCCTGGATGCTCAGTAACAAGACTTGAAAGTTACCATGCTTGGGCAAAAAAAGCCTTCAAAAACAGACTGCAGCATGAAACTGCAGAGCTGGAATTCATATGCAAACTTGATGCTATCACGCTGGGTCTGAATAGAGACTGGGAGGGGCTAGCTCACTACAGAAATTTCCCCTTTTTGGTATTCTCACCTTCTCATCAACTGTTCAGAGAGGGCCACATACAGGCTTCCTTCTAAGTTGCACAGCTCCACACTAAAAATTTTAGGTTCTCCCATGTCATTTTAAGAGCCGTACATCAGCACTCACCTTCCTGCTGGAACAAAAGGTAAATAGTGACAGTGGCAGCAGCTGTGACCTGGTGGTTTCCTGGTGGCGGGCGGCTGCCTTTTTGCTCCGGCCAGAGCTGGGGTATGCGAATTGAAGCTGTTCCAGTGAGGCTGCCCCAGCTGGAATGGGCCTCGTGCAGCTGCCACTTTACTCCAGGTGGAGCCAGGGCTGCCCGCGGTGCTATTTTTAGTACCAAGGTCCTGCAGAGACTGGGAGCGTGTACTAGAAATAGCACTGCAGGCGGCCTCTACTCCAGTCCCAGCTCATGGTCCTGCCCCAGGAGCAGCTGGGACCAGGATTGCAGATTAGAAATAGCATTGTGGCCCCAGCTCCAGCCCCTGCAAACTGCTTTCCACATGGAAGGCAGAAGGTGAGGGAAGAGGTAGGGGGAGAACTAAGGGGGAGGTGGGGGCGAGAAAGAGTCTTGTACTGAGGGGAGGAGAGGCCAAGGCAGGAGAAGAAAGGGGAAGGCACTAAGGGGCAGGGTGGAGGAGAAACACATGCCAGGGGGCCAAGAGGAGACAAAGAGGAAAAGGGCAGGAGGGGAGGGGAGGTGTCAGAGGGTGTGAGGAGGGGACAGGGTGATGCGGGGAAAGGAAAAGGGAGGGACAATGGGGGCAAGAGGGAGGAGAGGGGAGGGATGGGCATGAGGAAGTCGGGATGGAGCAAGTCATGTGTGAGGGTACAGATGAGCATGAGGAGAACTGGGTCAGAAGGTGGTGGGGTGGGCACCAGGGAGAAAGAGTTCAAAGGAGGAAGGGGGAGGCACCAGGAAGGTGCAGGGGTATTATGGGGGTGAAGCAGAAGGGCAGACACCTGGAAGGGAGGGACCGGTACCAAAGGAGAGAGGCAGGGCATATGGTAGATGGAGGTGTTGAGAGAGGAGATGGAAAGGGGTAGCTACAGAGGATCAGAATGGGACTAGGGGAGGAGTGGGCATAGGGGGAAGAGAAGGGCAGGTGCCGGGGTCAAGGAGGATGGGGAGGAGAGCAGGTCCCGAAAGGGCTGAGGGGAGTGAGAAGGGCAAGCACCAGGTGAGCAGATGAACCGAGGGGAGGATGAGTGACATGGCAGCAGAGGGAAAAGGGAGAGGTTTATAAGATATTTATTAGTAACTTGGGTGCCACACGTCCAAACGAGTGCACATGAACTCAATATGGTGCACATGACAAAATTCACTCTGCTCATGGGTGGAAAATCTTAGAAGAAACACTGGCCCCATCCACCCTGATTGAATAGCCTTGTTAGTACTTGTCCTACACATAATAATGTAGCACTCCCATCTGTGCATATATCTCTGCCAAAATGTAATTTCCGCTTCATGCATCTAACAAGGTGGGCTCCAGACTACGAAAGCTTATGCCCAAATAAATGTGTTAGTCTTTAAGATGCCACAAGACTCCTTGTTGGTTTTACTGAAACAGACTAACATGGCTACTCCTCTGAAATTCATTTCTGAGCATACCCACATATATTAGGGAACAGTAGAAGGCAGTGTAGAGGGGAACAAGTAAGGGATTCTTCACTGTCTTCTACTCTCTACCCCAGATAGATGGGAACTGAGAAATCCTACATCATCTTCCCTGTCCTAATCCTACTGGTTTTTGGCCCCCATTCAGTGATCCTAGGGAGTGAAGCCTTCTACCTTTACCTGATCTTTCAGCCCTGCTCCTCACCATCAGCCACAGTTTGTCAAGACTGGATGTTCTTATTATGATTATTGGAAATTTTATTTGGCTGAAAAGGGGAGGAGCAGAGTCCTTTGGGTGAATTAATTCCTTCCCCTAATCTTTCTACAATGTCCTAATGCTGTCGAGGAAGCACAGCAAGGGCTCATTTGAAGTTAGGAAGATTTAGGAAGACAGGGGTGTTCTTCCTCTATTACTGCTAATGCTCAAAGCCTGAGTTGCTTCCTCCTTTCTTGAACTCCTGGAGAGTCCCAATACTTCAAGTCTCTGCTGAAGGATAAACCTGATCCAGGGATCCCATAGTGCTTAACAAGATTCAAACACCCTGCACACCTTGAATTTATTTTATAGTTCTAAAAAGATAGTTGATGTTTCTACTAATAGTACTATTGCTCAATGTGGAAATGTGTTACTTCCATGCATACCAACGTAAGTAACATGGTATTTAGGAACCAATTTTCAGTACTCCATCAGAATTCAGTGTCATCTTAAAGACTTTTTGATTTCAGCAATAAATTATTTTAAACTGGAACTAATTATCACTTGATCTATTAAAATGTTGTTAAACATTGTAAACAGAATGTGTATCGTTAGGGTCTGTACAAAGAGACCTTCCAACAGAGAGGCAAGTGCATCATTATCATAAGGCGTTTTACTTTAATTTGCACTGTTTTGTTCTGAAACTGCTCCAATTTAAGGTTGAAGAGATTGGACTTTTGATATGTTCATAGGACGGTATCCAGCAATTAAGATTGCTTTTATCTGATTTCAATAATTAACATTTTCATTTCAGATTCTCTAGATGTCTCCCAGTACAGCCTTCTTTTTAACAAACTTCTAGATGCCTGTATTGAGAACAAGAACTTTGGTGTATCTTCTTCTGTAACAGACTTTATGCTGTCAAAAAACATTCCTATTGATTTTACTTTAATTAGAGGATTAATTACAGCATTGGGAAGGAGCTCTTTGTGGCTTAAAGCCAGGACCTATTACAAAAGTAAGTATCCCTTGAAATTGTGTTTTACAGTTTGTGATCCTTGAATAAGCTGTACTCATTAGAACTTAATATTTTGGGAAGTATGAGTAAGAGTACTACAGGAAATCAAATATTTTTCTAACCAATTTACCATAAAAATGTAACATTAGACATTTAGTACACTTAACTGAGAAACAAATCCGAATGATAAGTTTTCTGTGCTAGGTGTTGGGCTAGGTATATGTCCCTTAAGGTGACTCTAATATATAGGATAGTCACAGAGAGAAACTTAAAGTAGCCTCACAGAAGCTTTAAGTTGCACAGGCTAAAGCAGCCCGCATGGATCATGCTGTTACTTGGAGATCACCAGAACATAGAAATACTCGAGGCCACAAACCTGTGCAAGGCTAGAAGATGTGGCACAAAGCACACATTTCAGCTAGGAATTTCCCTTTTCCTGGGGAATTTACTAACCAGTCAGATAGAATAGCTTCCTGCCTACTTCATAAAGTTGGAGTGATATAAAACAGTAGCTAAGACTGAGACTTCAGAAAATTAAATAGAGTAAAGCTGTTTTGAAACTTTCCCTGGGTCAAAATGTTTGTTTATATATAAAAACAGAAGTCCAGACAGTTCAGTCAATACAAAGTTAAAAGTCATCAGGCTACCCAACTATCAGCCTCTTTGGTGGTCAGAGGAAAATAATCCTGTCTGCTTCACTGTTGAGCATTATTTTATTTGTAAATAAAAATGGCAATAGAAAATAGTTAGGATTGCAAATGTGAATTAATGAAATCTACCTAACACTTTGAAAATATATTTTCATAAAATTATTCTATTTCAATACAAAATATCACACATACGATACTATGAAAATGAATATTTCAAGGATGCATCCATATCACTAATGCCACATATTCCCTTTTCATTTGTTACACCCACAAAAATGATGCTTCACCACCCAACTTCAACTTAGATCCCCTATAATTTTCATATTTCATAATTTTCTGCTTTAACATATAATACACTTTTATTTTAAATTACAGTTAAATATCAGTTGGTAAGTGTTATGAACAAGGGCCCCTTGGCACAATGGGACCAAATTCCAACTTGCAGCAAACCCCTAAATTGCACTGCATTATTAATTTATTATTGTCTTTCTGAAATATCCTTCATTCCCAGCTTCTGACATACAATTATGGCTCAGCTGAAAATACTCATTCATGTAAAATGTGTTGATATTTTTAGCTGAGTTTTTTTGTTATGCTGTCTGGCAGTCCACTCCACTCTTCTCTGCTGCCACATTACTGTCTAGCCTCAAAACCTCCTTCCACCATAGTAACATGGGAACTTGTAGCCAGTTTTAGCAACTCATCACTCCAATCCTTAGCTACTATGTTCTTCTTCAAACAGCCATCTTATCATTCTGCACTCTCCCCACTCACTTCACTGGCTGCAGTCTAGCTCCCTGATTATTCCTGGAGGAATTCTGTGCCAAATTTTTAAAAAATGTTTTGCAAAATTCTATGTTTCATTTGTCAGAATAACTACATAAATCATCCTAGTTTCAATTATTTTGGTAATTTATTGCAAAATACCTGCCAGAAATATATCTGTAGCAATACACAAAAACACCCACACTCCCTGCCCCCCTAGAGCCCAAGCAGTCAGTAGCAAAAACAGTCTGATGCTCAGTTCTAGGCTTGTGTGGAGTTCTGCATGCTTCAGTGTCCTTCCCTCAGGGCATGGGGAGAACTGCAGCTACTAAGAACGCTCTGCTCTCTCCTCCTCCTCCTCCTGTCTTCACACTGTCTTCAGTTTTCAAGCTGGGCTCTGCTGGGTCCAGCAGCCCTTAATGGCCACCAGTAGTACTGCAGTCTCTTTTTGGGGGGAGGGAGGGGGGAATCGACCCCAAAATATTAACGTCTGCAAAAATCAGCATTGCACAGTGGCTCAGAATTCCCTCAGGAGTATCGGATCTTTCAGTTGCTGACCCCTCTTTGTGGGGAAATAAATAGGCAAAAGACAATTGCAAGTTGCTCCCCATAAAGCAGTGTTTCACATCTGGTGCAAAAGTAGGGGTTCTGTGAGAACCCGGCACTCCCCCTCTTAAAGAAACAGACAAATTGCGGTGGGGCTGCTTTTTGCTTGACAAATTTTACTCTGGCAATCCTAGGGGTTCCTTGAAATTCTTTAAAGCTGGAAAGGGTTCTGTGGCCAAATAAAATTGGGAAACACTGCCATAGAGCATGGAAATAAAACAAAATGCTGTGTGTATGGTGAATTCTGTTACAAATGCTGAATTCATGATATTTTTGGGAAAAACAGATTAATTCCACAGGCATGATTTATTTATAGGTAAACATACTAGCTGCAGTTGTGGTCAGTATTTTGCACTAAAATTAGTGTTGAGGGAAGAAAATGAACCAAACCTCTGTGTGAAATTACCTTCCTCAGAGTTTAGTGCCTTGAAAACTAAAGACCTGAGGCTACATCTAGACAGCAGAGCTATTTCAGGATACTGGAAGTATCTTGAAATGGCAATTCCGCATCTTTAAACATGCCAGTTATTTTCAAATATATTTTGAAATATTGGGCACACTGTTCCAGTGTCCATGGAATCCTCATTCCACGAAGGTTAAGGGACTTGTCAGAATAGCACTTTATTTCTAAATCTGGCGCTGTGTAGACAGCAACAAATTTCAAAATAAGCCATTTCAAAATTATCTTGAAATAAGCTACACAATTTGTGTAGCACAAATTTTGAGGTAAAGGTGCAGTGTAGATGCACCCTGAGTGACCACATAAACGTTTTGTTGATAAGTCTATTCAACTACTTAGGGTTTTTTGGTTCTCTCCAAATCTCAAGCTATTCACACATTCAAAATAGGCAATAGTTCCAACCTAACTTTTGCATGTATGCTTTCCTTGTCAGGTGCTTTATCATTGGGTTGCTACCCACCACTAAAGGGAAATTTATACCGGAAACTGTTACTGATTCCTTCTTATATGTCTGAGATTGAGATGTTGCTGGCCATTGAAATATTCCTAGTTTCAAATGCTAGTAATATTCAAAGTCCGGGTGCCACCAGCCAGACACTTCAGATAGTACTGAAAAGGTTAGTTGGTCAATTTTTGTACTTTACTTATGTCTCTTTCTGAGTATATGATGATTTCGCATCTGGGAGAGAAAAAGTTTTTGCATGCATTTGATTTGGCTGTAGCTTGGGAAAGAAAATCATTTTTCAAAATTAACATTTTTTACTCTGGTTACAGAGGGCAGCAAATATGTGCATTAATAACTTTAAAAAAATTATTTCACATTCAAATAGGGAAACCACATACCTGCTCAATTTGTCCAATATAGTAACCATGCGCCATATTATTAAAGAGAACATGATTGTATGATATGTTGTTGTATAAAAACTTGTCTTGTAGTTAAGCATATAGAAATGTGTGGTTGAATGAGAAAACATAGTAACACACTTCAAAGAAACACCTTGACTGCTCTGTCATGGAATATTCCAAGTCTCTGTCCTTGTCCTCTGTGAGTAATGTTTCATTAGTTTCAGCTTTGGGGAGCCCTTGCAAACAGATGGCATGCTGTCTTCATTTGAAATTACAGTTGTCCCCTCTGTCTCTGATTCTGCTGTCACTCTTACTAACTTTAGACCTTCACTTTGTTCTCAAGACCAGGAATCTTGAAATAATCTTTGTTTCTTCAAGTAATTACATATGCACATTATACCAGGTGTATGTACATCTTGTGTATTGGGTCCAGAGAGATTTTCCTAGTTGTATCCACAGAAGTGTCCAAAGCTGTATTTTGGTGTTCCTCATGCACCAACCTAAGGGTATAAAGGGAGAAGTCCACCTACTCATCTTTCATTTCCTTCTGGTTGGTGGCTGGAGCATGCTATCTGTTCTTTTGGCAAATGTGCCATTTTTAGTTAGGTTTCTATTGTTAGTGGAACTAGTTTTGAGGTCCTTGGACCTCTTTTTCTGTTCTATTTTTTCTTTTCTAGATTGTCCATGGTGAGTGGATGCCAGGCTCCACATAGTACCAAGAGAACCTCTGCCAAGGTCCCCTAGCTTCAAACCCTGTTCAAGGTGTTTTAACTGATGCCCATGAGTGACCCTCATCCTCACTGCCAGAAGTGTTTGTGTGAGGGCACATCAGGGCCAGGTGTCCAGTTTTCTGGGGCATCAATGCAAGAACAAAGAAGCGGAGAAAACAGCACCTCTGGTACATCTTCATGGAGGCTGCTCTTTGCTTGCCATCTGAACCATCTCAGTCAACTAGAGGGAGTTTCTCCCTATCTAGAAGTACTTACCTAGGAATAGAGACAAAGGGAGATCCCCTTTGCTGGGACAGTCATCTTGGAGCACCCTTAGCTTCTGAATCCAAAGAAGCAGACAACCTCCACATCATCTTCCGTGGTGTCCAACACGCTAGCCACTAGCCACATGTGGCTCTTTGGCTGGTTGAGTATGGCTAGATGGCTTGAACAGTGTGATTATTTGGCCAGTTGAGTGTGGCTTGTTTGCTATAGCAGTAGTAGCTACTGCTTCAGAACTGGTTGGACACCACAGCTTTAAGTCCTAAGTGTTTGACTCTTCAGCTGTAGAGGCAAGTCACTCCAATACTACTGGTAGAGTGCACCCTTTGACCTGCTGCTTCCCAGTGCTGCATCCTAGCAGCAGCTTGTCCACACCAGAGTTGTTGACTCCGCTTGCTGTGCTGGGACTGTCATAGCCAGCTTCTTCTTCGTTGAAGACACTGGAGCCATCACTTCTGCTCACAGTTGGGGAAAGGCCCATTTTGGAGCGGACCACCACTGAGACACATGCAGCTGGGAATGATCTGTTAAGACTCTTGGAATTGTTCTCATTGATTATTTCAAATGCCAGTGCCTTGCCAGTCCAAATGATCAGGGATTCCTGCAAAAGTACAACAGACTATTGACAATTTTCCCTTTGAGGGTTGTGCCTTATTTTCCTCAAAGATTGATGAAGCTTTACATATGCTAAAAGATTCAAGGGTAGTGCTGAAATCCTTGGGTCTTTACAAACTAGCTCCAAAACGAAGGAAGTTTTGTTCTCAGTTTTACTGAGGCAGCAGTACTACAATGCCTAGAGAGGCAAATCAGTTCAGGCAGAAGTACAAGCAGCAATGAAGGCAGTAACGGCCATCAAACTCCACTTCTTCTGGGAGGCAAAGCAGTGTTTGATTCTTTGTCAGTGACCATATAGCAGATCTCACCAGGAATCTACCATCCTTAAGGAACAGATTGTCACATTTCCTAAAGGCCTGGTAGTTCATCATTTTAGATAAGTAGGTGCTAAGCACAGTGGAATCAGGTTGCACTCTGCAGTTCTTGTCCCTCTCACACCTTCCCTTTGCCCCGTCAGGTTTCTATCTCATGAGTCTGTTCTAAAGCAAGAAAGTACAAACTTTATATTCGAGAACAATAGAAGAAGTGCTTGCTTGGTACTGGGATAGAAGGTTGAACTCCTGCTACTTCCAAATGTTTTCCCTCACAAATATTATTCCTTCACTAGATCTGAGAGGTTAATATGCTGCCCTCAACTTTGAGGGAGGCTTATGTCCATGTAGCAATCCACCCTTGCCCCAGCAAATTTCTAAAATTCATAGTAGAAGAAAACCATCTCCAGTTCTCAGTTCTGTCCTTTCGCTTGTCAGCCATGCTGAATGTTTTTACCAAATGCATGGTGGTGGGAGCAGCCTATCTCTGCCACTGGGATATTGTGACAGGGTGTGTATACTCCACACTGGGCCAGAAAAACTTAATGCCCTGTGGGCAGAAGTCTGTCCCTCCAGCCATCTTGGGCATGGTCCAAGGACTTGAGTAGTATAAAAGGGAGCAGCTCGCTTAGTCTGGGCTGATGCTGGAGAGGAAGGACCTGCTACAGAGCTCTTGAGATAACATGGCCAGAGACCCTGGTGATGGGAGATGGCATGGAGCCTCCAAAGCCAGTGAAATCTTAGGGGGAGACTGGAGCTGCAGAATTAGAGGATCCAGAAGCTACACTGATCACCCTAACACCAAATTGGGTAGGAAGTGACCCAGTGAGGGTGTGCGAGTGGTATCTCACACCTGAATGAGCTCAGTGTGTTGCGGTTGAATTCCATGCTGCACTAGGGCTGGATAACTCTGCCACCAACAGGGTGCTGGGTTGGGGCCCAGTGGAGTAGGTTGAACCCAGGCCCCCCTACCAGGGCTGCTGCCCCCAAGCCTTTTGAGACTCTAGCCCAGGGTGGGAAAAAGGGCCTCCACGGGCCGGATCTGGCCCACCAACTGGGTTGATCCAGCCAGCAGAGTCCCTGCTGCTCCTCCACCCCCAGGCCAATTAAGGCCTGGGGGCGGGGGAAGCGCACAAAGTTCTTCTTCAAGTAGTGTCACCATGGGTGCTCCACTGTAGGTGTTGGGCTGCTCCTGGAGCCACAGATCAGACATTTGCCAGCAGTGGGCTAGCTGGACCGTGCATGCGCCGCTCTTGCACCCTTTGCACCATTTCTTCTACGTGGTCCAGCTCCCGCCAGTTCGTCCTAATTGTCCTCAGTCGCAGACAGAGTGAACGGCTTCTCCTCAGACAACCTGAAGAGAAAAGAAACAGTTGTTCTTGTTAGTTGTAGTTTGTGTTTTCTTATAGTTCCAGTTATAGTTAGTAGTTAGTTACTGTAGTTTAAAATATATATGGTTTCCTGTTAGACAAGTTCAACATGCCTGGGTCTCTGGGCTTCAAAAAGTGTTCTGCATGCCGTGATGCCATGCCTGTGTCTGACAGGCATTCACAGTATATCAAGTGTTTCAAGTGTTTAGGGGAAGGACACATTCCACAAAAATGTCCACATTGCTCAAAGTTAATGGCACGAGCATGGCGCGACAGAGAAATGCGGCTCAAGATGCTTCTTTTCAACAAGGCCCTGCAGCCTGC